GAGTGGATGGTGTGGAGGTTGTTATTGTCCTGTGTGCAGGTTGTCATTGGGCTGTGTTGGTTTGTCACCTGGTTATGTATAGGTTGTAATTTCAGTCTGTTCGTGTTGTCATTCTGGTGAGTATGGGTTGTCACTGGCTGCTGTACATGTTGTGAATAGCGCAAATGTAGGTTGTGATACGCTTATGTGTAGGTGGTGATTGGTCACTGTGTATGTTGTTATTTACTACTCTATGTCGTCAGTTGGAGAAATGTACGCTGTGAATTGGTTATGGATATGTTGTGACTGGCTGGCGTGGAGGTTGTTATTGCCCTGTGTGCAGGTTGTCATTGGGCTGTGTTGGTTTGTCACCTGGTTATGTATAGGTTGTAATTGCAGTTTGTTCGTGTTGTCATTCGGTTGACTATGGGTTGTCACTGGCTGCTGTACATGTTGTGAATGTGAATAGCGTAAATGTAGGTTGTGATACGCTTATGTGTAGGTGGTGATTGGGCAGTGTGTAGGTTGTGATTTTTCGCTGTTTATGTTGTCAGTGGCCTGTTTGTTGTTGTTGTTGTATATCTAAGTTATCATTAACTTCACATGCAGATTTATTGCCTACAACACTTTCCTCTCGGAAAAGAAAAGGCGGCAAAAAATGAAAATGCCATTACTTATTGGGATGAGGAAAAAGTGAAGGCAAGAGTGAAATCAGAAAAGAATAGCGACAGAGGCATACTGCATGGCGTTCCGAGTGTCGGTGGGGCTTCAACAAGTGCATCCAACACAGGAATAAAGCTAACCCACCCTGTAAGTAAATCATGTGAAGCTTATTTTGGTGCTATGTAGAATTTGGAGTAATGATAACTTTCATTACTGTTGTTTTGCAGGAAATCAAGAGAACGTATGAAAGTTGATGACCATGGTTGAAGGGTTGGTGTCGACAATTGGAGAAGAGTTGGTTTCCTTGCAGTTGAGGTTGACGGATGAGATTGACAAGGAAGATGTGGTGGAAGCAGTAAGTAGCGAAGATGACAAAGAGAAGGCAACTGAAGATGAAGAAACCGGTGAAGAAGGTAAAGGAACCCCAAAAGATTCAATTCTGTCACAAGAGGAACAACAGAGTGAACCAGAAGGAGATGATAAAGAAGAGGGCAAAAGTGCTTCGCGTGAAGAAGAGAGTCAATCTCAACCTGAGGAGAAAGGAGAAGGGAGTCACTCTGGATCAGAGGATGATGGAGAAGAAAAAACACAAGACAAGTCTAGTGATGCAGCAGCAGAAGAGGATAAGGGTGTAGGCGATGAAATGGAGGGAAAGGATGAAATGGACCAGCAAGCACAAGGGCAAATGGATGTAAGAAGATCAACACGGGTGAGAAGCCGTGCAATCAAATCTCCCTGGTTAGAGGAGGTGAAAAAAGGCCGTGGCAAGAGAAAAGCTGACGAGAAAGAGGAATTATTCCAGATGTGCACGAGAAGATGTGATCAAGATGAAGGTGCCAAGTAAGTGTTGGGACTGATTGTAATTGGGACAACTGACTGACAACAATTTTACACATACAACCCTTGTGCTCATTGTTCCTTTTGCTGCAGGTACATTGTAGAGATGTATGGGTACTTCTTGACACGTGCTGAGCTTTGCTGCCTAAAACAGGAAATGGATGAACGACAGGGTAAGACAGTTGTTTATATAGATAGAGAACTGCGAATGTCATTATGATCATGACTAACTGTTTGTATGTGTGATATAGTTCATGTCTATGGTGGCGAGAACCTTGGTGGGAGATGAAAAAGAGAACCACGGTCGTGTCAGTAGGCACATTTTTTCATCTGAGTTAATGCAAACAATGGCCGCTAATCCTCTTAGGTGGAGCCTGGAAAAACATGAACATGAAATCTTACCGGAGCACATAGGATATAACATTGGAGACTGTGACTTCATATTTGGCCCCACCCTTTTCAATTACCATTGGTTCTGTTACGTGATGGATGTAAGAACCATGCGTTTCTATGCCCTTGACTCGTTGGTGGACAATTTGACGATGTTGAGATTACAAAGAGAGGAAGAAGAAGCAATGAAAACAGGGAAGAAACCACAAAGGAAGCAAGGGAAAAAGAGAGGACAGATAGATCCTAAGCAATTCATGGCGAGAGGGATTGTATGCACAACTTTACATTCATTCTATAACTTGTTAATGCGTTATGGTTGCTTGTCTGCTTAACTGTCCTGGTTGTTAATGCCTGCTGATTACTTGTCATTGGCTACAGCGAAGGTTGTTAATGCTTCCTGATAACTTGTCATTCACAACTGTCAAACTTGTTTCTTTTGTTTGTCCCTTTTTGCAGAGAGATTGTTTCTGCCAAGTGCTTCGTGTGCTGAAGCCATCACTGTTTGCGGAGGAGGACAAGATTGACGAGGAAGTCACATGGGCAAAAGTTCATGTGCAATCTGACACGTGAGTTATTTTTCAGCACAACAAGTACTTGTGTCTCAACTTTTGGGAGCTAATGTTCATTCACTAAAGTACTTGTTTTTCCTTTGTAGGGACTCTTGTGGGGTTCATGTGTTGAGCTGGTTACAAACATGGGACGGCACTGAGTATGGTGACGACGGCTACACAATGCCTAAGTACTCCCCTGAAGAAATCCATGACTTGAAGGTTGGATGCTTGTGGTGGCTCGTGACTCATCGGAACAACCTGCATGGCGATGAAGTGCTGTCTTTGCTGCGAGGAAACCCCCAAAGCAAGAGGAAGAAATAAATGACAAGCATATATTGTATTTACATTTATTTATTTGACAGCATAGTGACATCTGAACGTCAAGTTCACATTTTATTCTTTTCTTTGAGCATGTATGAATCCTGGATGTTAAGATATGTTAATGTGTTTTGATATCCTTTACTGGTTATCAAGTTTTTGTAAAGGCATTCATGTGTTTTCATCATGGCCACAAATGCAGACTGAATAAGACTGGATAAACAAATGGTAACCATGGTGACATGATAGGCATATATCAGAGTCCTCTCTGCCACATCTGTTTACAACCTCAACAGGGGTTGTTCACAACCGTAACAAAAATGATTAACAACATTGGCAGTGCGCCTGACAACTCACTCGGGGTATAACACAGCTGTTAACTTAATTATATTATGAGCACATATAACGACCTTAATAGCAAAAATTGGGAGCATTTTAAAGTCATTAACAGCTTTAAAAGAACCAAATCATATTACAGCAGATTTTTATTGCAGCAATTCATTTACAACCTCAACAGGGATTGTTGACAACCCGAACAGAATTGGTTAACAACCTTCACATTGCCCCTGACAACTGACGCTGGGGATACCACAACCTCCACATGAGATCTAATTCTAACCAAATCATATCATATTATGACTTTAACACAGCTCGAATGTCTTAAGAAATCACTGAACACTGGAAGTAGGAGAAATTGTCACTTTATATCAGTAACATAATTGAGACTGCTAATGACAACCTGCATGGCGTCTGATAACAAGTCCATTACAACCTATTCACCAGTACATCAAAAATACAGAAATGATGTTATATCAGATTACAACTAGGTGTCATTTACCACTTGATATATATATGTACAACATAACTACACCAAATTTACAACCTATTCAAAAAAGCATACGTGTTGCATGTGTGGATAATGACGGACAACTTGAGGTGTAGGTTATGACATTTACAAAAAAAATGCTGTCACAAGCATTCACAAAACGAAATATCAACAAGCCACCAGCAAAGCTCAACTTGGATTGGGGTTCTGGCAAGTCTTCACAGTGTGGCCTGGCTCATGGCATCTTCCACAGTGGTAAAGTTTTTTACTTTGAAATTGAGATTCAATCCTTCTTTTCTTTGGCCTCCCTGAGGGTCTTTTAGTGATTAGTGGCTGTAAAAATGTTCCCGTCATCATCTGCGTAACGGTGAGAGCTTCGGGACGAGGACAATCATGTGTCGCAATTGGCCTCATACTACTTGCATATATCTTCTCTTGAGCTGACAGCTTATAGCAATCATCTACAAATTCATAAACACTACCATGAAGTAGCTTTATCGCTGCACAGGCATGAGCACAAGGTACTCCGCTCATTTGCCATGCTAAACAAGTGTATTTCTGAGCTGTGAGATCAACAGTGACGCAAATTATTCCAGTAGGAGATGTAGTATCAACTTGAACTCGGTTATCTCCATAATATACAGTATGCATATTCTCCGCTCTTGCTACTTTTTCTTGCAACTTGGACTCAATATTTGGCCCAACGCCATTTGTCCAATTTTCCATTGCCATTTTGTTTGCAACCATCTTCTTGGCTAATTTCTCCATATGCTCATGTATGAGAACTGACACATTGTGCTTCCTCTCCTTCAAAATCCAGGCATTAAACGACTCCGCAACATTAGTGGTGATGTTATCCTATTGTTTAAACGGGAATTTGCTTAAAGCCCACCGATCTACATCTCCTTGAGTGTCAACCTAATCAGCTAATTGTGGACAGAATGATCTAAGTTTCCCCATTGCAGCAACATATTCATCCTCAATCCTTGCATAGGCGATTCCATCCAGCATTTTCAATGCAACGTCCTTTGAAGTACCTGAAACTCATCCCCTGCCTCGGTTAATTTTTAAATAATGTGCACTAAAATTTTCTTTCACATGCCTATAACAAAAAGCATGTCTCTTGCCACCAAATATTGTTCGCACAGTACCTATAATGACATTATTTCGATATGAAACTATCGTTGTCTCCACTGATCTTATGATGTCTTTGACGTTTTGGAGAAACCAAGCCCAATCATCATATGTCTCCCCACTAACTATAGCATATGCTAATGGAAATAGTTCATTGTTTGCATCATATGCATTAGCTGAAATCAATGTCCCCCTGTAAGGACCACTTAGATGACAGCCATCTATATAAAGTATATGTCGACACCCTTCTAAAAATCCATTAATTGAGCATCCATAAGCAATGAACACCCTCTAAAATCTGTTACTATCCAACCCTTCCCATCAAGCACTTGTGTTTGGATCAGTTTCAATGAGCCTTTCACAAATCCAGGGAATCACCATGTATGAATCCTGTGCACGACCATGTATTTCCCTCAATGCTCTTTCTCTACCCCTGTATGCTTGACTATAATTCAATCGCACCCCATATTCTCTATACAGATCTCTTCTAATTTCATTAGCATTCTTGTCTATATTACACCTCAAAGAATCTATCATGATTGATGATGTTAAGTTTGACCCTCTAGAGTGAGATACAACCAAGTTGTCCTGTGCATAATGCACATGCTCACTTCTTAAGGTTCTAATTATTAACAACTCAGAATCTTGTCTTTGTCCCATTGAGTATGCACCCATATACCACGGGCATCCCTCCGCCATACACTTCACAGTGATCTTTTGTTGATTGTTCTTCACAAACTTGTATGAAAACTTCACAGCAATACTGTACCTATACAGTGCTTGCCTAAGAGCCACTGCATTAGGAAAAATCTGTCCTTCTCCGATAACCAAACCCTTCCACTTTGTTGAATTCATTTCCGGAATTGGGGTTGGTATCATTTCTAAACCACATGGCAACAATAGTGGGTCTTCACTAACCACATTAGGTGGAGACATGGACAATGTATCTGAACCTTCGAACAAGTCTTCCATCCTACATAACAGAACAGGTCAAGGGGTCGTTAATGACAACCTTCGATCACTATAATAACAACTTATGCACAACAGTTGACAATAGCTAATATTACTTTGAAATTTAAATAACACAACTTACACATGTTGCTCTTCTATTACAACATCCCTTGTTAGTTGTGAATTTTGATCTCCATTTTCTCCTATATATGCATGACCACTGTCGCCATTGAAGTTAATCAAATGTTCTACTCCTTCATCATCTACAAGGTCCACAAATGTACACTTATCAAAGGTTACTGTGAATTTCATAACCATTCCATTACTTTCTTTTCCCACAATTGATGCCACCATTGTTCTAAATTCTCCATATGATGTCCCTTCCTTTATCATTCTTGTTCTCACACCACCTCCAACATACTGCGTTTCACCTTCTACACCATTAATAAATTATCCTCCTATATGGAGGTAGCAAAACAATTGCTTTGCACTGGAAGTTGCCATCCTTGATATCAACCTGCCACAATCACTTGTTAATAACAAGTCATACAGTTATGTTAACAACCTTCGATGTACCCATTAACAACACATTTAACCATCGCATTTGAGGGGTTACAATAATAAATATCTGTTATTTTCCACTCATTTCCATCAGCAACACAGCATCATTGCCCGAAAAACAGAGCATCATTCACCGAAAAATAGAGCATTGCTTTCTAACCATAGCCACACATAGTAAAACCACACCTAACATGATTAAAACCATATATGACTAAAATGAGCCTCCCTTGATATTTCTAGAGAGTTGAATCACATGCTTAATACCCACGTATAAACACCCAATCAACTTTTCAGACCAGCATTAAAGCTGCGACTGGTTGTTAATAACAAGTCATACAGTTATGTTAACAACCTTCGATGTACCCATTAACAACACATTTAACCATCACATTTGAGGGGTTACAATAATAAATATCTGTCATTTTCCACTCATCTTCATCAGCAACACAGCATTAGTGACCGAAAAACAGAGCCTCATTCACCGAAAAACAGAGCATTGCTTTCTAACCCTAGCCACACATAGTAAAACCACACCTAACATGATTAAAACCACATATGACTAAAATGAGCCTCCCTTAATATTTCTAGTGAGTTGAATCACATCTTTAATACCCACATATCAACACACAATCAACTTTTCAGACCAACATTAAACTTGACACTGGTTGTGTACAGAAGAAGAGAAATGTTGTTAATGATGAGACGTACCAAGAAGATGAAGAAATAATGTCGCTTGCCTGCAATGGAGTACCAGCGCATAACTCCCTTCTTTCTTTCAGAAGCTTCTCTTCCTTGTGCATGCATAACAAACAATCGCACTAAATGAAGCCAATCAGTGTCTCTCCCTCTTTTCTTTCCTTTATCAATGACTGAGGGCAAGTACGTAATATCACAACTCAAATTATTTACCCAAAGGTCCCTGGGGACTTATGAGGAATTTGGGGATTTCATGGGACCTTCTAGTAGTAAATTCTTTTCCGTGGGACTCTACAGTAATTTTCCCTTTATAATATAGCTGTTGAAATGCACTTTTTCACAGTAACGTTTCTTTACAATTTGCAAAATCTATAAACTTATTTCTAACTATTATATCTTCAAAAATATGTGTTATAAAACTAAAAAAAAAAGTAGAGAAAAAGAGTAGAGAATTAGAGAGAAACAAGGAAGAGTTCTCATTCTATTTAAAATATTAAATAGATAATACACGGCCTCTATTTATAGGTAATTAGGCACAACTTCACAATATTAATAGATCTATTGATTACATAATAATATGATATTATTGTGACATAATATGTAATACATTGGAGATAATAGCAAAGATATGGACATCCACACAAATATTATTATATTCATAACACTTCCCCTTACATGTCCATTATATGAATGAGCCTTATTAAAAATTTTCAACTAGAAAAAATCGTGACATAAAAACATTCCAGAAGAAAAATAGTACATCATTCATAGATACACTATTTAGTATTGCATCATTAAAAACTTTATTAGGAAAACCTTGCGGGACAAAACTATAGGTGCAAGAGAAAAGGAGTAAGCATGCATCAACTCCCTCCCTTAGCAACATTAGTTAACATCTTCGAGTATGCAAAGTCTAATATGATTATTAAGCCTTAACAATATTGTATTGAAACAAATATAACATATAATAATTTTACAATATTTTGAAAATCACGAGACAAATAGTTCTTTTGTGGTCTACCAACATGTGAATCATATTGTAATCTCTTGATATGAGGATCAAACAAGAATCCTTTACTACATAGCTAATAAGATTAGTCTTTGGTACATTCAAATAAAATAACATCAGCTCCATAGTATCCTTAAAGTAATGAATAATATACTTAACTTCATTCCAACATCATTGTATTGGTGAAGAATTATACTATGCTAATTAGTAAATGATATGTCCAGTTGTGTGTGCGTAGATAGCTAGACATATAAGTACTCCAACGATACTAAGATATGGTATACTTCTAGACTAAGTATTTGTTCATCACCTTTTCAAGGTTAAGTGGATCATTAATCCACCTTTAAAGATCTTACAATTATCAAAGCACATAATGAATGTAACTTATCCATATAAGAATGCTTTAAGACCTTTTTTGTATAAGTTTCATCATACAAATTCCAATAGAAATATAAAATTTGTAATCCAAGGCAACCTTTTGTTCTTCCTAAGTCTTTCATTTCAAGTTCTTTCTTTAAGCAATTCACAGCTTTTATAAAATTTTCATGAGTGTCAATACTATTTATATCATAAACATAAATAGAACTAATAATAAACTTATTTCTAGATCTTTTCATACATGGAAAATTTGGATTAATACAATTTTTGGTTCTTTAATTTTACCCTAATTTCGGTTTTAGTCCTCTTAAATTTCAAATTATAGGTTTTGGTCTCTTAATTTTTTTTTTGTCTAAAACCTTAGTCCCTATAATTTTATAAAACTTACACCTTTTCACCTCTTGAGAGACTAAAACTTATGGTTTAAAACTTGAGGGACCAAAATTAAAATGAAAGTAATCTTGAAGAACCACATATTACATTAACCTAGAATATTGTTACATAATTGAGTAATGCTCTTGAGAATATAATTATATGCTTCTTGAAACTTGAATCCTTCAAGGGTTTTTATATATTTTGATCCAAGTCTATCCATGTAATAGATCATTTTGAATTCACATGAGGATTTGAATCCTTGTGAGATTCATATATAATTTCAATAATAGTGAGTTAATATATTCCCTAGAATCATATGAAAAATTTTCATACATTATCAAACTGCCAGATTGATAAGACACATAAAAGTTTAATCCAACACAAGACTGCATTTCTCTCTGTTTTTTTTTGTCCAAACACCAATTTATGCAATACTAACATCACATTTCAAGTGGTTAGGCTAGAAATACACAAATCCTTATTATAATGTTGCATGTTGCATTTTTCTTTTCTATTGGCCAACTATCTTTCTGTTTGTATCTTATGACAGATTTGAAATATAAGATTTTCATTTGATTACATGATATCATCACCAAAATTATTGTTAACAATTTTATTCCTTTTCAGTCCCTATTTCTTTTATGACATAACATATCAAGATCTCTTTTTTGCTTTCAAGTGTTTGAGCCTCTTCAAGGTCAAATCTTAGCCTCTTTTGCAATCCTCGTCTCTATGATCATCTCGATTATTTGCTTCTTTTCTTTTAAAATCGATCATTCTCTCATGCTTCTGGCATACCTTATTTTCATTTATAAGAATAGGAACTAGCTAGAATATGATATTAACAATTCTCATTTAGGTCAATAATTACCTTTGGTAGATATTTAGCAATAATTTATGAATACAATATGTTATGAACTTGTGATTCATGCTACTATATCTAAGGATCTAAGTTTAATAGTAAAAATGCATTTGATATATTCTCTTTTCCTACTACTCATTTTATATATTTTCTTTTCCTCATTTTGGGAAACATTTGTCAAATGACAATCAAGTAATCATGCAATATAAGTCTTTTAAATCCATAAATTTCCTTTAGAAATATTTTTTGTTTCATTTAGAGACAAACAAGAAGAAATAGGATTTTATCCAATGTTGATCTAAACTTTCTTTTAAGGAAAAATTAATCTTTCATACCTTTAACTTTTAACTCAATTATAACTCAGTCTCTTGACTATGACTCGGTGCGACTTAGTCCCTTAACTTTTAACTCGCATATAACTCAGTCCCTCATCTCTTAATTATTTAATATTATTATCCTTTTTATCTCCTGACTCATCCTAGCTGTCAAAAACAATTAATATAACTATACAAGTCAGCACTAGGTGGGTCAAAATGGTTTCCATCAGCTTCTCCCATTTGATTTTCTCCTCCCAATCTGAGTGCCATTGTCGACAATGGATATTCGAGCGAGATGATGATAGAACAGAGAGAGCACAAAGCATAAGAGGATACTCACTCCTCTACCGATGAGAAAGACTCAAACCTCACTGCCGTGTTTCTCAGATTGATGGTATAGATTTGAGTCCGATGATAAGGATATAGATTCATTATTTCCTCCCTTTTAAGTCCATAAAAAAGATTACATATTAGTATTACAAGTTACTCATATTATTTGAAAGAAAAATAAAATTGATGATGATTGTGTTATATGATATTCATTTCTGAGTGCACTTGTTTTGTAATAGCCAAATTTTTCAGTCAAGCTCGATGTGATAGAAAATGGTTAATAATAGAAGGCACTAATGCAGATACTGGTTATCTTTCTTTCTTTTTTCTCTCTTTCTCTCGACACTTTCCAAAAGCCTTTTGCATTTTTTTCTTATCATCCCATGGCAAGGTGATTCACATTTTCGA